ACTAAAAGCCAGTAAATGTAGAAGTTGAAGAAGAGAAAAACGTTAACACACTATTTGAACCTTCCTCTTCCCAAATATCTAAAACATTGCATATACCACTATTTTCAGTATAGCTAGTGAAACCTAAAAACTCTGATTTCTCTTCACTTGTCTGAAATAAGTCCATTAGAGATTGTACTGGTGAACTATAAGTTCTGTTTTCTTCTTGTGTAATAAGAAATTCAGTTCTTTTCTTATCTAATTCAGCATTTGGTTCCAGATTTTCTTTTTTATTTCGTCCTAATAATATTCTTACTTTTCGATGGATTTTACTAGATGGTACATTATCCATATTCTTGACATCACATTCATTGAGTTCTTCAGGAGGACTAGTTGATGTTTTTGTCTTTATTGTTAGGTGTTCCTTTGAATTTATTGTTATCAGACCAGGAGCATCACCAAACACTGAATGAAGGTCCTTTTCCTTTATGTCTTTTGATAGAAAAAGTGCAGTATCTGACTTTTGTTTTGGTTGTGATGCACTATTATCTGTATTGAAATGAGAAACTTTTATAGATGCTTGTAGCTTAAATGGACAGTGATCTACCCTTAGTTCTTCTAAGTTCTTTTCATTTATAATTAATTTATGTTCAGAAATGTCAAGAATACATTCCTGATTATTTTTATGTGGAGGTAGCTGTGCAAAATTCTGCTGTATGTCATTCTCAGCTGCACTTAACATGGAACATTCATCCATCATTTTCTCATTAAGTCCTCTCAATTCTTGTGACAGGCAAGGGATGGATTCTGAAATAAACTCAAGCTTTTGTTCAGGTTCCTGGGTTTCTTCATATAGGAAATTCTGCTTGATCACCTGTGCACAATTTTCCCTGAAGTCTGTCTGAGAAATATGTTGCAATTCAAGCTTTTCTTTTGGTTCAGACTTTTTCAGGACATTTACAGAAACAGGAGAAAGGGATCCAACACTGTATTTTATTCTTTATAAGGAAAAAAATTAGAAAAGAAAAAAAAAATTAATTGCTATGAAAACAAATTCCTTAGTTAGAAATCAAATTAGCATAAGTTATCTTTTTTTAAAAAATTTATTTTTTAGTTGTAGGTGGACACAATAACTTTATTTTATTTGTTTATTTTTATGTGGTGCTGAGG